CGCTAACTACGAGTAATGGACACTCGGCTCTGATTCGCGCCACCCCTATATTATTCCTTATCGAGTACCGCATTCAAATTGACATTAGGATTATTAATTACCTGTCTGCAGCTCTATCGAGGATCAAGTCTATGCAAATCGATGTCGTCTTCGAGAGAGATTAACGATGTTTCGGATATTATAACTCCTCTTGTCACTTTCGCGGATACAGAATAAACAACGCACACGGGTTAAAATTCTTTTGCAACTGAAGGCGCGACATCTCGTGTCTTGTGCGAGAAACATATTTAAATTATACGCGAAATTTTTCTGTCTTAGGCATACTTTTAACGATCGTTTCGCCATCTGTCGACTATTTTCTACATACGTCATTCCACGATTATAATTTTCAAAGAGATAAATCTCTAATTACCGTATGTTATATTAGTCACGAAGGGAATTTATCGGAACAAAACTATCACTAAATTAGAATTCCTGTACGATCACGTGCCTCGATATTTTAAGAAATACGAATATTATCCGTCTGATAACTTTATCAATAATACAAAAAACCATCCAAATGCCAAGTATACGGGTAACTGACGTAACGAAAAGAGATCGAAATGACCATGGCTCCCACGTTAAATATTTATTTCTGCCAATGAATAACGGTAGTCCGACTGACGTCGAGCCAGATCCATCTTAGATGATTACCGTCATAATAAATACCGTGATGCTCTCTATTGATCGGATATATCGGAAGCACATTATCGAACAGCGACCGTTTCGAGTGTATCAACGTTACCTTTCAGGAAAATCCTCGAAGCAAAGACATGTTCGTATATACAGGGAAATGCGATTCTTCCCGGGCTTTTATCGAATCGAGACGAACCACGCGGAAAACTCCGGCCCGATCTTGTTACCGTCGCGGGTTATGCGATCTGGAAAGTGAGATCATTCGTATTTCTCGCGCGTATACGAATAACATAGAGACTCTCCTACGCACCGCGACAAGATATTCCTGTCCGAATGATCGTAACGCGTAGAAAACGATCTAGTAGATCGGCCGATTCGCGTTCAGTTCTAACCTCGTCCGTATCGCGTACAGGAAGCTAGCGACACTGTCGACATTGACGATTCGCACAGGCCACCGGAAGCCACAGATTCGCGGCTAATAGAGGTTATCTCGGATAAACAAGATACGCGCAAAGTTATTAATAAAGTTATGGCTACTAGATTTCTTTTCCTTTTTTTTTTTTCTTTTAAAGGAAAAGAAATTAATTCTTTTATAAATTTGAAATTCCATTGAGAATTTTGAAGCGATATTTTATTTATAATTATTTTTTAAGAGTTTATAAATTTATTTATGACAGTAAAAATTGTAAAATTTCGTAGCTTCGTTATACGAATATTTTTCTAAATATGTTTTTGAAAATTACTGTAGGGTATTTTTTCTAGCAAGGGAATTGAATATAACTACATCTACAGAAAAGATCCGAGGCTAATGGCGGCTATCGGATAAACAAGACACGTGTGGAGTTATTAATAAGTTGTAGCTGCTAGATATTTTTAAAGAAAGAAATCGATTTTTTTTTTAAGTTTAAAATATTCATTGATGATTAATGACGTAACATCAATTGTCAATTCCGATCGTTTCCGAATTGCTTGCCAATTTATTTGTAATCGTAAGAAATGTAAAATTTTGTATCCTCATTGTCAAAGTATTTGCGATTTTGTGAAATATCTAAACTTGCTATCCATTGAAAGTATAAATTTAGTTGTACAGAAAAATCAATCTAGAATATAAGACGAATAAATAGTTTATAAGATCTAGATTTCAAGAACGAATGTTTATAGAAACATTAGATAAGAATTGGAAGTTAAGCGAACTGCGTCACATACACACTTGACACTCTAAAGAAACACTCAAAGATATACATTCCTTGAGTAATAAAAGAACTCAACAGAGAATTACAATACATCGTAGTTATTTTCCAATTATAAATCCATAATCCCAACACTATCTGATATCTTAACGCGTCAAGAAATTGCGCTTAGATCTAAACGAACAATTTCCGTTGACCTCTCGTCGAAATTTTTCCCACTTTCTAACAGAACTAATATTTTCGTTAATTCCTATTTCGGATAACGATGTATACGAAGCGAACGCAGCTCATTTCCCAGTGTTTACGGTCGACTTGCGTTTATATCACGGTTAAATTTTATAGTTTACTATAACACGTTCGACGCTAAACATTAAACGTATAGTACACTTAAGCCGTGGTCGTTAGACGAATGAAAAATAAAGAATCGAGTTATAGCGGAATTCGAGAGATCGATGTTTCGCTTGTGATCATTCAATATTAAAATCGGTATCGATGAAAATAAAATGGTTCGCATGATCGGAATAATTATGACGCGATATATAATATTAGCGGATAGTCGTTAAACCTGATTCATAGTACCTACATCACCCTACGCGTACGCAACAAATTGCCGGCATACGAGTTCTTAAATCCTGACCTCCTCGAACAAATTGCTATAAACTTCAGCTTCCTGCAACCGCCGTGTACACACATACGCCGTCGCGTTTTCTCTTTTACTTATGTTTCCCTCGCAGGCCATCGTGTCGTCTAATTTACGGGTGCGTCGCGACGCGTTCGTCTCGCGACCGATTGCTCTATTCGCGTAGCTTTATGAAAAGGCGAATAAATTCCTTTCAATCTCCCTCGCAACGCCGACGAAGGCTCGACGGAAACCAGAGGGGACAGAGAGAAAAAAGAAGCGAGATAACGAAGCATGGGATGGTCAAGAACAATAGAAAACGAGGAAGATGGAATATAATTACGCAAAATGTGATACTGTGCGCGTCCTTGAGGACTTCTTTTCTCGCTGCTTGAAAAATCGATGAATTATTCAGGTAATATCCAGACGACGAAACAATACTAGGAACGAGTGAACCGGAACGGAGTTAAATATTGAGAAAGTCGAACCGCAAAAACAGGACGTTCAAATACGTTCGAGTCAGTTAAATATTCATCGTTTTAATATCGCAGACATCGCGAGGAACGTTCGAGGACGATACACGAGTGTTCGCAAGGTGTACATATTCCTGAGACGCGAGATTCCGAAGAGTTCCTAGGGCGTTTCCTCTCACAGCAAAGAAATAGCGTGGATGGGAAACGCTCGTCGTATAAAATGAATTTCGACGTTTCTTTTTTCATTCGCATAGCGCCGTAAGCAGATGGAAGATCGAACGGTAACAAGTTCAGCGAGGGTATTCCATCTCAGAGAAATTTGACTTATTTTCTGCTATTCACGTACGATTTATACTCGGTTGATCATGAACTGCTCGATCGCCCCGTGATACGGCGTATCTCATGACCTTACACAAAATATCCAATAATACACGAACCTGCCAGCTATGCACGGTCGAGGAGACATAGCTGGCGACTGATGAATACCATTACCGGCAGGTAATGAAACCCAATCGCGATTCCGCGCTGATCCAAAGCGTTTTTCCACACTTTCCCCAGTTCATTAAACCGATTTAACACCGATAATGACACGCATCGACGAGAGCGGAAAATAAATTTTTCGACTTAGTCGACATCGCGGACATTACGGTGTTACGCTCGAGAAATCCGAGGGTTAAATAAGCTTGCGGTCTATCGTAGCTAGCCGAACAGTTAATTTTATTCGTATCGCCGATTCCCTTTGAACCACTCGAATTATTAAAGCGCCCGAAGCTATTCTTTGCGACCACTTCGATATCAGCTCTATTCCCCGATAACCACGCTGGCGAAACTCGTTCCTCAAAAGAGTACAGCCTATATACCCGGGGGCCTCGGTAATAACCACGTCTGGCTGACTCGTGAACACCGCGAACATCTCGAAATCAATTTATGCAAAGCGAATATACGCTACGAAGTATCGAAATCGCAAGTCGACAATCGACTCTTCTTTCCAGTCGATCTGAGAAGGGTCTTCGTGCTATCGAATCCTTCGAGACCGGCAAATTAATTCTATCGCCAGCAATCTTCTGTAATGTACTGGGGTCATCCAGTGGTTAATAATTCGGGCGATTTGTACAAGTTAGAGCGAACATTGAAGCGAAAGCGAAACGTGTGCTTTAATATGCTCGACCTCGCAAGGTCGCGAAGAAAGCGACCGAGCAGACGGAAAGTTCACGATATTGCGTGCAAATTCTATAGACCGTCGTGGCGAGATAATGCGACGCTACCTGACGTATACACATTTTCCGGAGCTTATTACAGGGGACAAGGACGACTCGTATGTCGACCCATACGTATATGCATATGCATATGCATACGTATGCGTGTACGTACGTGCATACTCGCGTGATTGCATTTGTCAATACGCTAATCTTCGCGTATTGTCGTGTGATCCCGCGGTAGAGCGTCTACGTGTACGGTGCACACGCGGAATCCGTGTGTTTTCACGTGGTACACGAACGCAGATACTTACGTACGCACATACGTCGCATGTTATGTATAAAGCATATCGTGAGCACGCGAGCCAGCTTGTCGCGCTTATTCCGTTTATGCCTGCCGGTATTCACGCTAACGATGAGCTTGTGTTCCCTGTCCGTCGAGAGGAGTCGCGCCGTTTAATCTCGGCGAACGAAGAGCGTAAAAATCCAGCACGGAACGGACAACGTATTGGATATTGGCACGAAAGCCGGCTGTTTACCTTCCCCGAATGGAGATGTCGAAGAAGCGATCGAAAATATCGAAGAGGCGGAGATTTCTCGAGTTTGCACGGTGTTCGATTGTAAAAGTAATCGATGCACGTGTATATAGGTTTCTAGCAGGTTACATGCTTCGTCGAAGGTTTCTGTGAATGTGCAGCGGACGTTTTCGGACGGGGTAAACTGGGATCGTGATCTAGGAATCGTTTCATGGTAGTCAGTGAATTACACATACCTATCGTCTGAAATGTACAATAACTTGCATGAATATATGGTTCGAGGAAGAAAGAAAGAAAGGATGTGCACTCACCTTGATACCACTGCGTCCCTGCTGCTTCAAAAGTATATTCTCCGGCTTCATGTCGCAATGAATGATCCTGTTCTTGTAGAGAGCATCGAGACACTGTAGCAGCGAGTACGCGAACTTCTTCACGATCTGCATACTGAAACCCTGGAACTTGTTCTTCTTGATCAGCTCGTATAAATTAATACTGAGTAATTCGAAAGTGATGCACATGTGATGACGGAACGTGAACGAGTCGAACATGTGAATGATATTCATCGTGTCGTTCTCATCCTGATCGCGCAGCTTCCTCAAAATCTTCACTTCCTCCTGAGCCTGGCGATGGAACCTCTTCTCGTTCCTCACCATTTTCAGGGCGACGTGCTCCTGCTTCTTGTGATCGTACGCCTTCACCACCTGCCCGAACGATCCCTTACCGATCACCTTCAACACCTCGTACCTGTAGGCCACGTGATCGTGCGTCACGTGCATGTAGGAACCATGTTCGTTGTCGTAGCCGCTATTATGAGGCCGGCCGATTATTCCCGGCCTCTTCCTCGCGTTCGCCCCGATAAAGTATATATGCCGATAATTAAAGATCTCGTGGTGCTCGTACGGGGTCAGCTTGTCCACGTAGATCTTTAGCACGACGTCAGGGGTGGCGGTGATCGTCTTCGGCTTGCGGATACCCTTGCCGCAGGAACTTCCGTTCGGGCATCCATTTTTCACCACCAACGCGGTCGTGCTCGACTGACTGTTCGACTGCGTGTGCTGGGAATTATGAGCGGTAGTGTGACTGAAATTATGACTGGAATTATTGTGACTCGAATTGTGACTCGAATTGTGGCTCGAATTGTGGCTCGAGTTGTGGCTCGAGTTGTGACTCGTGCGCGAGCTCAGACTCAGGTTCAAGCTATCGGAGTTGCCGGTCAGGCTGAGCAGGCTGTTGTTGGCGCTGGAACTCAAGCTCGGCAGATGAGTACCGGCCATGTGACTGGAGCGGGTCAAGTAACTAGGCGACGACTCACTGGCAGACTGCTTCAGAGCCAACGTGCTACCCTTAAGGGGTGGTAGATGATTGTTCTCGTTCGGCGGAGTGTTATACGTCTGGGTCGAGATCGCGTTCGCGGGTACAAACAGTTTTGGTCTAGACCGGGGCATCTCGAACGTGCTCGCAGATAGAGTTAAGCTAGTCATTTGTGTCCATTTGACGATGATGTAGAGGCGTGTGTTCCTTCCCGGGCAGACCAACAGGTCGATTATCGAGGAAAGCGAAACAAGCAACCATTGGATGATTACTCGTACCGATTCGAGTCTGTAGGATGTGGCGCATCGATCGCCAACCACTTTTCTAATATCTTCCTCCTTTCGCGCTTTCTATTATTATTTCTTCTAACGTGTCACCGTGTATTGTCGTTTCGATAAAAAACATATTGGTTCGTTGAGGTTAATATAAGCTAGTTTAAACGCGATCGTTATTGCTCGCTTTATTTTTAAATCTCTCCGTCTCTCTGGTTCAATCTCAATGTCGGAGTTCGCAGATCTACGTCGGATCAGTTTATGTCTGTATATAATATATATAATATAGGAGTAAATTTGGTCAATCTGCCGATCCCGTAATTATTCTTCGCGAGTTCGCCTGAAATAAATTAATCGACTTAAATGATTTAACGATTTGAATCTCAGTCTCGTTCTCGTCTCGGTGTCTCAAATGAAATGTGCGAAATGCTCTCTTTCTTCTTTTTCGCTTTCCTTTTTCCCTTTATTTTTTATTTATTTATTTTATTTTATTTTATCTCTTGTTCTTGTCTTCTTTCTGCGTGTTGGCTCGACAGCTACTCGGTGAAGCTCGAACACGATGAAATCTTCTAAGACAAGGTGTTCGAATAGCCCGCGATGCACACTCGATAAACGTGCATCGTTAGCTCGTTAGAAGTGCGCATCGAACGCGTTTCGATCCCTAATGGCGATGGAGCGGTCGCACGTGCAGCTTGAAATACAATCGATCGTCTAAAAATATTCGTCGAGAAAAGAAAAATGCTTCTCGATGTAAATGCAGCGGACTAGAAATTACGATGATTCTTTTCGCTGTGGCGAGAAGAGAGCGATGATGGTTCGTGGAAAAATGAACGTGGCCGACGTCTTCTATCCTTGTTTCGCTGATTCGCCGTCTTCGTTGTCACCCCTTCGCGCGCGGCATCTGTACGCGGCTCCGAACGAGAAAAATAAGAGGAACTATGAACCCAACGCGGCTGACGTCACTTCGGACTACGCACAGCTGTCAACCCCCCTCGAAATTATTCGTCCGACTCGTATTAATTGCCTTCGTCGCTTGACCCTTCGCTCGTTATCACCGGACGGTGTCTCCACCTTCTTTACCGCACGGAAACGATGTGCTGCTCCTTTTACCTTCGTACGAAGTTTCGAACGTCTAATTTTATAATCTATCGCGCACGAGGGCAAACGCATCGTGCGAAAACTGTCTACCTCCTCTCTGACTGGAGGTTATTGGCACCAGGCCGGCCAACACGCACGACTTCGCTCCATTGAACTTTTTTCTATTTTCCCAACGGACAAATTTCGAGCGGAATATAGACGTCAACCTTTGTCGAAATAACAACGTACAAGTCCTTCGTACGAGTGATGTTCACTCTCCACTGGATTCACTGTTGTCGAAACGTAAGCGTGAATCGGAACAGCCATACGAATATTCCGATGTAATCGTTCTCAAATGTATCCTCGGCGAATAACCGCGAAAAACCGCTGATAATCGATGGTGAGTCATTGAATCATCATAGACGCATCGTCTGCGACCAAGCATGCACTGAATTTCCTTTTGAGCGGAAAATTTCGTTTCCGTGTCGGACTTGAACTAGAAAAGAACAGCTTCTCTAGTCTTCTTCGGCAGTTATAATGTCTAAACGAATGAACGTGTTCTATTTACATGCATCGGCACCGCGCTCCCCGTACTTCGTCGCTGAATCGTTCACATTATATTAATTCGAAGCAAGCTTCCTCGCGACAGCATCTAGCGAACGGTCATCGTCAGCGACATCGGATTCTGTCGAATTTTTCCGATTGCGACATATCATGTCACCTCTACGGAGACGTTGCGAGTCGAAATCGAGCCACCGTGTTGCCAGACGATATGCTGAATTTCTCACACGCTCGGTCGTGGACCCCGCACGCATGAAAATCGAAGCAAACACCGCGAACACGATGAACGTGGCCGCACCTTGATAACTGTTTACAAGCGAAACGTCCACTCGGCATTAATCGAAAACTTATTTCTCTCGTTGGTTTATTCTCTTGTAAAGGTGGATGAATGCAAAAAATGGGTGGATGTTCAGGAACGATAATTTTTTTTCATTAAGACAAAGACAGCACGAAACGAAGTTCGTCGCTTCTGGCACACTGACTGGCTAGCTGGCTGGCTGGCTAGCTGGCTGGCTGACTTCTCTTACTCTCTTCTCTCTCTCCCTTCCTCTTTCTCTCTCCTTCTCCCTTCTCTCGCTCCCCCTATCTGTCTCTCTCACGCCGCCACCATGTATATTCTTTTTATACCCCCGTTAAACGTTGTGTCAGGACGGTTTAGAAGGGGTAGACGACCAGGCAAACGGATGAACGGCCAGACTAACTAGCCGATGCACGAACTCGCGTGTATTTAATTTTCCGTTTCCGAAAACAAACAAAACCGATATCGCAGGAGAAAGATTTTCGCGAATCTGCGGCAGTTAAGCGACATAGCATGACGCTTCCAGCGGTAGAGATTCCTCCATCGTGATTTTTACGATTATCGCGACGCGATTGTCTTTCATTTCTACGGTGGCTCTTGTATACCTATATATCTAGTATACAGATGTTTTTGTTACCCCTTCCCCTTTTAACGACGTTTGGCGTGCATGCACCAAGCAAGTTGTACGTTCAATTCCGACGAGCGGTAGGTACGCTTCTCAGGCTGCATTTGATAACACTGAATTTTTTACTCGATTCCGACACAAGTTTTCACTGAGAAATTCACACTCAACGATTCACGAAGCACTCAAGGCGGGAGCACCATTTCTCTATTCATAAAGAAACGCCTGCTGCGACACCCACGCACGCACTCTCACGTATACAGACGGTTGGTGCTTGCCGCACGCACAGGTGTCCACACGTATTCCTGTTTCAAAGCTAGGGGGAGGACATAGACTAAACTGTTACTCTAGATGGTTGCACGCCTCTTCGATATTAGTTCCTGCTTTTTCCAAGAAACGCAATCAAATTTATTGTTAGACGTGATTTCGCTGGAAATCATTTTCGTTAGTCAATTCTCTACGTTGAAAAACCACTTTTCGGCACGAGAAGCTTTATGCTATGCACTAGCATTATTTATCTAATAGTAGAAAATTTCACTCGATCTAAATCTCTGTATTTAGTGATCCGTGACGAAGATTCATTTTCGAAGAGACAATAAGGAAAGAAGCGGTCGAATGCAAAAATCACTGACGAGTTTTTAGAGGGCAGCACACACCAATATGAACATATGTTATCATTATTGTCTTTTGAACCTAACTTAAGCTGAAAACAGTCAGAGACTGGCGTTATTTTGATCCGTCAAGAATACTTTCGTATACTCACAGCTGATATCGCTTTGAACGTCGTAATAACAGATAGTGAATCCAGAATGAATTTAACGCCAAAGACATTTAAAGAAAGACGTTCCTTTGGTAAATATTAATTTTATTATATTAAATACAATAAATTTTGTATACTTAAATTTAAAACAAAATACTGATCAAACTGCAAGGTATCTCTTTGCGATGTTTTGCTCATTCCGCACCTCGATATACTTTTATTTTATTGATAATACCGAGTTTTATAGCCTCATGTAATTATAAGAAGACTTACGTTTGTTTAATTATGAATATATTTGTTCTTAAGTTTAATTTTGGAATGTTATTATTTTTTTATAAAAGTTAAGTGTATTATTTTTCATTAAACACTAATAATTTAAAAAAATTTGTTTAAAAAATTTAGCACAAAGAGTTGCAGATGTAGAATTAATTAAACAAAGGTATCCAAATAAAATACCTATTATTATTGAAAGATATTATGGAGAGAAACAATTACCTGTATTGGACAGATCCAAATTCTTGGTACCAGATTATTTAACAGTGGCAGAATTCATCAAAATAATTCGGTATATTTTTTCATATTTTCTTCGTGTTTCTTCATGTTTTGCAACTACTTGCAAAACTCTTATATGATCTATAGATAATAATATTTATTGATTATAACAGACGTAAACTACAACTACATCCAACCCAGGCATTTTTTCTGTTAGTAAACCAAAGAAGTATGGCAAGTGGTAGTATGACCATGGCACAACTTTATCAGAGAGAACAAGATGCAGATGGTTTTCTTTACTTTGTATTTGCTAGCCAAGAAGTATTTGGGCATTAAATTGAGTCGCTTTAGTTGGAAAGTAAGTTTAGATATTTAAATAAATATACAGAATTATTTAATGTTTATAATGTATAAGATTAATTTAATCAAATTTTTAATATTTAATATTTTGACTTATAGATAAAAACAAACTTTTTTTGGAATATACTATGTGCTAAATATTTTTAAAGATTCTTAGGGAAAGTTTTAGATCTATTATAACTATCCATATCTGCCTTTCCTCGAATATACAGACTCTTTGTGATCAACTTGCAGTACCTGCTGAAATAATTAATGGAACAATCAAGTTTGACATTTATGTGTAAAATCATTATGGTGCTTTGGGCCTTCAGCATGTAAATCAGTTATATTTTACATAAGTTAAAGTATAAGATTAATTTTATTCTTAATAACAGGACATCTTATAATTCTTTAAGAGTTAGAAACAACAATCGTAACCATTGTTAGCCTTGATAGGTAAGAAGGTTACCTATATAATATTCGTACTTAATATCAATAATCTAAATTCATTCACTTCCATATTCATCCTATGAATCTAGTGGATTTTAAATATACATGAAAAGGGAGTAACATTACATAAATGATATAGTAACAAGTAGTGACCAGTTACATATAAAAAATTGTAAAGTATATTTACAAACAAAAGTGGAATTAAACATTATTCTGTATATGTTTGTTTGCTACTGCTGTTTGAATTATCTAAGAAATGATATTATTATGATTTATAGTCTCTCGCTGCTCTGGTTTATAGTTTATGTATAAGCTAGAAAAATTAAATTGTTAGTAGGTATATGAAATTTTAGACAAGGAAAAAATTTTTAAATTATGTATGCTACCTATAAATGAAAATATCTTGCAGCTAATCTGTTTAAAAAATACTAAAATATTAAAGAAAGTGTTTATGCATATAATTACACATGTGTGTATTGATATGTGATAATGTTATTACACTCATATCAGTTTTATTAAATATATTTGCATTATAAAACTTAATTGAATTATTATGGTTTCTAACTAAAATATATATATATATATAC